TCGACCATTAGGTGACACTGCCTCTAGCGCTCATTCGTTCAGGAGGAGGAGGAGAATGAGGAGGGTTCGGGCCCGAGGGGGGATGGGAAAGGGGTGGGGGGGGTACAACATCTGCTGCGTGCAGCTGGTTTTGGCCCCTCCGCCAGGCGCCTTCCTCGATACTTTGGCGCCTCCCGCGCTGGGAGGCGCCAGGAAGCCAGCTGCGTGAGCGGATTCGCTAACCCCCCTCTGCTGCCCGAAGGGAGGAGGAAGGAGGGGCCTCTCTCTTGCCCGAAGGCGGTTTGCGCGCCCCGGGCAGGCGGCCGAGGGGCAGCTCCAAGGGGCCAGCGAGCGGGAAGGACCTCTCCTGGAGCTGGATCTGATTTTACCAGTTTGAAACATATCCCAATCCCTATGTTTGACATCACCTCACCTCGATGCCGATCTTAAGGATTCCCTCAGTTTCTGAGGGCCTATCCCTAAGACTGTCCTCGCTTTTTGCTCGCCCATCTTAGGGACAGGGATACGTTCGAGGCTGGTTATGATTGTGCAGTTGGCCAGGCACAGGAAAATCACAGGTGCCAGCCCGTCCAGCGATCCGCAGCCCTGGGCGGAGGTGACGGAGATGACGAAACCGTTGGCGTACCGGTCACGACGGTGGCCGCAGTGGGGCCACGGCAGGATCGCTCCGCCTCGCTCCAGCGGTCGCCCCCCTCGCAGCCGACGCACCTGCATCTCTGCGCTCCTCGGGCACAGGCGGGATGGTGTTCACCTCGTCGCTGCGAGCGGCGCCGAGGTCCGCGATGATGCTCCTCGCCCCAGCGCGCCAGTCGTCGCGCCAAGGCGCGTCATCGACGTCCTCAGTCCATGTCGGCATGTCGGTGCTCAGCTGGCCCGCCGCGTCCCTGTCCGCCGCCGCAGCCGCCGCCTCGTGCTCGGAGGCACCGCCAGCCGCAGGCGCCATGCCGCCGCTGCCACCCGCTTCGCCGCCGCGAGGACCGGTGTGCCGGCGCCACCGCGCCCCCAGCGGCGAGGCCAAAGCTGCGCCTGTGAGTGGCGACCTCCGCGGGAGCGCCAAGGCCGCCGAGCCCCCTGTGGCTCGAGTGCCGAGGAGGCAGGGAGCGCCGGGGCGCCGCGAGAGCGTCAAGGCCGCCGAGTGCCCAAGCGGCGGGAGGCCGCCGAGCCCACCGTGGCCGGCGACATCTGCGAGAGCGCCAGGGAGGCGCGCGACCGCACAGGGCGTTCCCGCGGCGACTCCTTGGGCGGCGTCGCCCAGCGGGGCGACGAGACCGCGGCGCCTCGCCCTCGGGTCACCCAGTCGCGGCCCGCGCGGCCACCGAGAGGAGCCACCGAGGAGCACGGAGGCGGAGCTATCGTGAGTCTCCGTGGCGCGTGCTCGGCAGAGGGAGCAGGCGTTCGACCCGAGCCGGCGCTGATGGGGGGAGGAGCGGTGAGGAGTAAGGAGGGAGGAGGGGAGCGAAGAGTGATGATGATAATGATGCTGCTGATGATGATGATGATGATGATGACGATGATCAATATGATGCTGATGATGGTGATAGTGATGATGATGATGTTGATGATGATGATGATGATGAGGAAGATGAGGATGATGATGCTGATGATGATGAGGATGAAGATGATGATGATGGTGATGGTGATGATGGTAATGCTGCTGATGATGATGATTCTGATAATAGTGCTGCTGATGATGACGATGATGATGATGAAGATGATGCTGATGATGATGCTGATGGTGATGATGATACTGATGCTGTTCGTGATGCTATTGATGATGATATTGATGCTGATGGTGATGATGATGGTGATGCTGATGCTGATGATGACGGTGATGATGGTGATGCTGATGATGCTGATGATGCTGATGATGCTGATGGTGATGCTGCTTATGATGATAACTATGATGGTGGTGATGGTGATGCTGATGATGATGATGCTTATGATGATGACGATGATGATGCTGTTGCGGATGCTGCTGATGATGATGATGCTGATGGTGACGTTGATGATGATGATGATCATGGTGCTGATGGTGATGCTGATGCTGATGCTGATAATGATGATAATGATGATGATGATGATGATGATGGTGAGGGTGAGGGTGATGATGATGACGATGATGATGATGGTCATGATGAGGATAATGATGGCGATGATTATGATGGTATGAGGATGAGGATTAGATGATGAGGATAATGCTGATGATGATGGTGATGCTGATGATGCTGATGATGATGACGATGATGATGATGATAACGATGCTGATGCTGCTGATGATGATGATGTTGATGATGATGATGATGTGATGATGGTCATGATGAGGATGATGACGATGATGATGGTGAGGAGGGTGAGGATGAGATGATGAGGATAATGATGATGATGATGACGATGCTGATGATGATGCTGACGATGGTGATGTTGATTTATATGATGATGCTGATGATGATGGTAGAGGATGGTGAGGAGAAGGAAGGTGATGATGATGCGACTGATGATGATCTAAGTATTGTGCTGATGCTGATGATGATGGTCATGCTGCTGCTGATGCTGCTACTGATACTGCTAATGATTGTGATGATGGTGATCATGGTGAATATGAAACTGACTCTGATGATGCTGATGATGATGCTGATGATGATGATGATGGGTGATGATGGACGGGTGATGGCGATGACGATGACGATGATGATGATGATGATGCTGATGCTGATGCTTCTGGTGATTCTGCTGATGCTGGTGATGATGAGGCTGTTGCTGCTGATGATGATTCTGGGTGACGATGATGATGACGATGACTGTGATGATGATAGCCATTATTATGAAGATGAGATGAGAATGATGATGGCGATGATGCTGATGGTGGTGATGATGATACTGATGCTGGCGCTAATGATGTCGATGATGATGATAATGATGAGGATGATGGTGATGATGGTGATGATGATGATAACGGTGATGATGATAGTGATGCAGATGCTGATGATGCTGATGATGCTGATGATAATGCTAATGCTAATGATACTGATGCTGATGATGATGGTGATGCTGATGATGATGAGGATGACGATGCTGATGATGGTGATGGTGATGATGATGCTGCTGCTGATGATGATGATGCTGATGTTGACGATGACGGTGATGATCTTGGCCCTGCTTAAATGTGTCGAGGGCGTTGTTTTTCCTTTTGTTTGTTGTGGTGGTTTTCGTGCATATTATCCTGGCGAAGGGCCCAACCATATGCAGTTGTGCGTATCGCAATTGTGAATATCTTCTTTTGTGGCGCTCCCTATCAGGCCACGAACCCTGTGAGGGGTGTGCCGACACAAGTGCGACGGGCGCATGTGGACGGTGCCACTGGGGCCTTCTGTGGAGCCTCCTATGGGGCCACGAAGCGTGTGAGGGGGGTGCCGAAATGGGTACGGGGAATGCATGCGGGCGGTAACATTGGGGCCTTCGGTGGAGCTCTCTATGTGGCCACGAACCGTGCGCTTTCGGTTTCGGTGGGGATCGCTCGAAACATTTTTTGGTGCTTTTTTTCAGCTCTGTCGGAGAAAGCGGCGGGGGAAACGAAACATGGGAGTGAAGACGGCAGGGGAAACAAGGAACAGCCTTCGACCAGAGAGCAAACTGTTACAAAATAGTAATCCACAGCGACGGGTCTCAAAACGCTTCAAAACAACAGATCTAAAAACGCTATAACGCCGTTGCTTATGAGGATGCTGCTGCCGATGCTGGTGCTGCTGATGATGGTGATGTTGATGCTGATGCTGATGCGGATGCTGATGCTGCAGCTGATGATGATGACGATGCTGACTATGAGGGTGATGATGATGGGTGATGACGATGGTGGTGATGATGCTGATGGGGTATGATGCTGCTGATGACGATGCTGATGACGATGCTGATTCTGATGCTGATTATGACGATGTTGATGGTGAGGATCTCGTAGTGTTGCTGATGATGGTGATGCAGATGATGGTGAAACTGACTATGATGCTGGTGATGAGGATGTAATGATTAGCATCACCATCAGCATCGTCGGCATGGTCATCCACCTAATCATCACCAGCATCATCATCATGACCACCATCATCATCAGCAATCTCATTTCAGTATTATCATAATCGCCATCGGCACCACCATCATCAGCATCATCAACATCGTTATCACAGTCGTCGCCATGCTCGTCTTCATCATCATCAGAACTATCATCCTCATCGTCACCACCATCGTCATCATCATCGTCACCATACCAGCTTCACAACCACAAGCATCACCTTCGTCAGCAGCAGCAGCCTATCATCCTTACCGCCCATCCGCAGCATCATACCCTCATATCATCATATCAGCACCATCACCGTCGTCATGATCACCCATTCTCATCACCGCCACCATCGTCATCCTCATCAACCAATGACAATGTTGCGCCTCATAAGCGTCATCATCCTAATCCTCATCCCTATCACGATCATCATCCACCGCATAATCATCCGCAGCATCAGCATCAGCGTCATCATCATCCTCAACATCATGACCATCACCCACCAAACGCCATACATCATCATTCACCATCATCCATCACCACCCATCCTCATCATCATCATCATCATCATCATCATCAGCATCATGTGCTGCTGATGATGATGTTGATTTTGATGACGATGGTGCTGCTGATGATGATGGTGATGCTCATGATGATGGTGATGATGTGGGTGAGAACAGGGTGATGGTGAGGCTGCGGATAAAGATCTGATCATCATCATGATGATGCTGGTGATGATGGTAGTAAGGTTGATGATGCTGATGCTGGTGATGATGATGCTGCTGATTCTGATGATGCTGATGATGATGATGCGACTTCTGCTTCTGGCGATGAGGATGATGCTGTTGCTGATGATGATCGTGATGACGACGATGACGATGATGATGCTGATGATTATGCCGCCGCTGATGATGTTGACCAGGATGGTGATGACAATGACGATGACGATGCTGATGATGGTGATGATGATGATTCGGAGGATGATGGTACTGATGATGATTATTATGAAAATGATGGTGCTGCTTTTGATTATGATGATGACGATGATGATAACGATGAGGATGGCGATGAGTCTGATTATGCTGCTGATGATCGTGCTGATTATGCTAATGATCGTGCTGATGATCGTTTGGTGGATGATGAGAATGAGGCTTACGATTATGACGGTGGTGATGCCGATGATGTGCGATAATGGGGATGATGATGATGCTGACGATGATGATGTTGACGATGATGAGGATGATAACGATGATGATGGTGATGATGATGATGAGGATGAGGATGAGGATGAGGATAATGCTGCTGACGAGGCGTAACATTGTCATCGATGGTGAGTATTAGGATGGTGGTGACGATGAGAAAGGACGATCATGACGATGATGATTATGCTGACCTGACGATGTGATGATCTGATGATGGCGATGCTGCTGCTGTTGTTGATGATGACGACTCTGATGATGATGCTGATGCTGCTGCTGCTGCAGAGAATATGATGATGCTGCTGCTGATGATGATACTGATGATGATGATGCTGATGGTGGTGATGATGCTGCTTCTGCTGCTGCTGCTGCTGATGGTGATGATGATGATGGTGGTGGTGGTGATGGTGTGATGATGAGAGGCGGAGGAGGAGGAGGAGCAGGAGGAGGAGGAAGAGGAGGAGGAGGAGGTGGTGGAGGAGGAGGAGGAGGAGGAGGAGAAGGAGGAGGAGGAGGAGGAGGAGGATAAGGAGGTTGGAGGAGGAGGAGGAGGAGGAGGAGGAGGAGGAGGAGGAGGAGGAGGAGGTGGGTGAGTAGAGGAAGAGGAGGAGCAGGAGTAGGAGGTTGGAGGAGGCTGGAGGAGGAGGAGGTTGGAGGGAGGGAAGGAGGAATGGGGAGGGTTGGGTGCGAGCTCTCACCTCTTCCCTCTCCCTTCCTACCTGCCCGACGGGCTCGGAGCGCGGCCATCTCGCAGGCGCGCGAAGACAAGAGGCAGTTCGACGCGGCCGGCAGGGACGGTGGCCTGCAGGCGAACGGTCGTCGTCGTCGTCGTCGTCGTCGTCGTCGTCGTCGTCGTCGTCGTCGTCGTCTTCGGAGGAGGAGGAGGGATATCGGAGGCTCTTTTGAGAGCGGTGTGGCACTGAATGCAGCGCAGAAGGTGAGGGGCGCTTCACCAGCCATCCCCTGCCACTCTCCATCCCTGCCTCTGTCTGTGTCTGTCCGCCTGCCTGCCACTCTCTCCCCCTCCCTCTCTGTAGATTTTTTTTTTTTTTTTCTCTCTCTCTCTCTCTCTGTTTCCACTTCCCCAACTAGGGTTGCCTAAGGCGTTCTTACTCGGTTAGAGGTTGGTGCCTCGGAATGTTCCTTCGCCCGTTCCTCGGCGATTCCTCGGGTTCCTCGGGTTCCCCGCCCCCGGTGCCTCCTATTCCCCACTTAGGCTTGCCTAAGGGGTTCTTACTTGGTTGAAGGTTGGTGCATGGTATTCTACGATGCCCGTTGCTCGCGGGTTCCTTTGGTTCCTTGGGTTCCCCCCCCGGTACCTCCTATTGCTACGTTGCCCGTTTCCCGGAGGTTCCTCGGGTTCTCTCGGTTCCCCGCCTCTGGTGCCTCGTATTCTTATTGTGCCCGTTTCCCGCAGGTTCCTCGGGTTCCTCGGATTCCCCGACCCAGTGCCTCGTATTCTTACCTTGCCCGTTTCCCGGATGTTCCTCGGGTTCCCCGGATTCTTCGGGTTCCCCGCCCTGGTTGTTGGTCTTGTTTCCCAGCAGTGCCAGGCAACGCCAGGCAACGTCAAGCAACGCCAAGCAACGCCAAGCAACGCCAAGCAGATCAAAACAGCGCAACGCAACGGCAAGCAATGCCAAGCAACGTCAAGCAACTCTAAGCGATGCCAAGCAACGCCAAGCAATGCCAAACCATGCCACGTAATGCCAATCAACGCCAAGCAACGCCCAACACTGCCAAGCCGTGTAAAGCAGCACCAAGCAATGTCAAGCAACGCCAAGCAACGCCAAGCAACGACCAGCAGTACCAAGCCGTGCAAAGCAACACCAAGCAACGCCAAGCAATGCCAAGCAACGCCAAGCAATGCAAAGCAACGCTAAGTAACGCCACGCAGCGCCAAGCAATACTAACCAATGCCAGGCGATGCAATACAATGCAAAGCAATGCAAAGCAATGCAAAGCAATTCTAAGCAACGCCGTTTAGGAAGCACTCCTTTATTTGGGGTCGCGCGGGATTTTTTTTGATTATCATTATTTTGCTCCCTCTCTCTCTCTCTCGCTTTCTCCCAGTCTCCCCCCATCGAACACGGGCGCGGTGGTCCTCTCAGCGCCAGGTGGTGTAGCGACGGGCGAAGAGGAGCAGGATTGTTGCGTACGTGCCACGGTTTGTTGCCCAGCTCGAGCACTTGTCCCGCGCCCCGCGATCTGCTGCCGCGGAGCCCCAGGAGGTCCGCAAGCTGGCGGAGAAGCTGAGGAGGAGCAAGCGCGGCCAGGCTCCGTGAGGCTGGCACGGCCTCCTCCCTGTCTCGGCATCGCTCGGACGTGTGCAATTTTCCTTCGGCGAGGACCATCGAGGAGCATCCTTAATCATTTGGCGAAAGAACCACGCACGAAACTGAAAAAAGCACACGGGATGGACGTCCGAGCGATGGCGAGCTGTGGCCGCGTGGTGGAGTGGCACGGCTTCCCAGCACGCCTCGGGTGGGGTGGGAGCTCCGTCCCGCCGCGGGGTTGCACAGGCCATGTGCTGCTTGCCTTGTCGCTCGATCGGATCCTCCTGGGGTGTAGCAGCTCTTGCAGAGGAGGCGGAGGAGGGGGGAGGAGGAGGAGGAGGGAGGAGGAGGAGGAAGAGGAGGAGGAGGAGGAGGAGGAGGAGGAGGAGGAGGAGGAGGAGGAGGAGGAGGAGGAGGAGGAGGAGGAGGAGGAGAGGGGGAGGAGGAGGAGGAGGAGGAGGAGGAGAGAGGAGGAGGAGGAAGGAGGAGGAGGGGGAAAAGGAGGAGGAGGAGGAGGAGGAGGAGGAGGAGGAGGAGGAGGAGGAGGAGGAGGAGGAGGAGGAGGAGTTGGAGGAGGAGGAGGAGGCGGAGGAGGGGGACGAAGAGGCGTTCCGCCGAGGCTAGCTCGCCCGCCAGCTCACGCCGGCGCCAGCCAGGCGAGCGGCGCGCCCTCGTCACAGACACTGCACGGGCTGCCCGCGCCATGCACTCGGCAGCACTCAGTAGCCGCCCGCGCACGCGCACGGCGCCATCCACCCGTGGCAAGTCTGCACGGCATCTTGGCAGCAGCAATGTCCTTGTTGATCTGGCTGGCTCAACAGGCCGACGCTGTGCTGAACATGTGGCCTCAAGTTTATCATGCCGTCAACGGTAGGTGCGACAATGGTTCAAGGCGCGGATGCAGTCACAGGGAGTGCCATTGGCTTCGGGGTGGGCTCCATATCCAGTGCAAGAGCTGGAACATGCAGTGGCAGAGAATGCTAGCGGGCGAACTACGGATAACAAAGGTGGTGGATGAGTTGCTTGCCGCTTTCCACCATCCTACAGATTTCCCACATCCACTTTTACAGACATGGCGAAACATTTGTTTTAGGTTCTACAGGGCAGCGAGCCGACACCGCGGGCTATCGGTATATGATTCTTTGTGACGTTGATGACGCGTAATGGAAGCTTGCCCTGACGAATATGTGGGGCAAAACCGATGACACTGCACAGTCTTATTCACGTGTGTCAGAAACTCCGCGTACTGACATTTTGAGTAGACTCTAGTAGACCGTCGGTGCGACGTCACCCTACATAGTTATCTTGAGGATTGTCCCTTGTCCCGGGCCGCTCCTTCCGCGAGGAAGCATATTGAAGCGCTTGCCCACCTTTGGGTAGTATCGTTAGCACTCATGCTGGTATCAGGTTGCGTGATCCCGGGTGTTGCAGGTATGGCTTCAGCGTGGAATTAAGTGAGCTGCTTGCGATTGGCATCGATGTGGCGTTCACGTTGAATGCAAGAGTTCGCAAATCCAATGCGGCAAGTGTTAAATCCATTCTCTTGTTAAGATCACGAAGCCGAGTTTGTTCGAGGAGCGCATGTTCGGATTGTTGCTACCTAGCGGCGTACATTTAGCGTCTTGACCTGCATTTGGGTCTGTCGTTTCGTGGAATCGTTGTAGAAGTTGATGGATACAGAGAAACTACAGATGACCGGTCCAATCGTGTACGCAAGACGTGCGGGACTCGCCGATCGTCTGGGGAGCATGATTCACGTTCATGCTTTTGCTGGCCACTGTCGTCCCACAGAGGCTGCGCAGAGTTGTTGTCGTGGAGTAAACAAGTACAGCGTTGATGGGCACATTATGAATGTACATGGGCTGTGCAAGCAAAGTGGAATATTGTGTACATTCCGTATGTCAGCAAGAAAGGTGTACAGTTGCTCTCTGCTAGCAGTAGATGCTTGATTGCTCAATATGTCTCTGTCTGCTACGTGTTTTCTGCTGTCTCTCTCTCTCTCTCTCTCTCGCTCGTCACCGTACCACGCGGTGATCATTATCTACCATGCTTTCCCTACCAGGTGCACTATGGCCATCCCCGTGTCTCTGTCCGTCCCCCCTCCTCCCTGCTCCCCGCTTCCCTCCTGCCTCCCTCTCCCGCTCCCTTCGAATCGCCCTCCTCTCCGTTCTCTTCCTGTCCACCTACGGTGCTCTCGCTCTGCTTTTCTTCTGCGTGCCTCTGTGTTGACGCCCGCGCGTGTCTCGGCGCTCGTGCGCTCGCGCGTTCTTCACCGGTCAGGCGGCCACGCTGCGCCTTCTCCGAGACGAATCGCCCGTGAGGGCGTGGCTGGACAGGGGATGGGAAGGTCATCAGGGTAAGGGATGGGTTGCTCGGATTGTGTTTTCGGCCATCCTGTTTTGGATCTCCTTTCGCCACTGGCAGGAGCGTGTTTCTTTATTGGTTGCGGCATGACGGGCGTCATGGCCCCTGCCGCCCCCTCCCTATGACGTAACGCTCCCCGCCCCCCAGTGCTCTCTGGGCACTGCCGCCGTGCGCATCGGGATTCGCATAGGTGTCCGCATGGGAATCCGCATAGGAGTCTGGTCCGCAGTCGTCGTCGTCGTCGTCGTCGTCGTCGTTGTCGTCGTCGCTGGTCGTTGTCGCTCGTCGCTCGTCGCTCATCGTCGTCGTGCGTGCTGACGTGGCTGGAGCCTGTTTTTATTCTTGGCTGATGACGGCAATCATGTGGGAGGGGGTGGAGGGGGCCGATGATGTCACGTTTCGCGCCGGCGGCGTCTGGGAGTGCCTAGGAACGGCCGAGGACGGGTAGCAGCAGCATGTAGGTGTCGATCTGCACCACATCGCCTGTGTACACCAAAATGCCTGCGTGCACCACAGCGCCTGTGTACACCACACCGCCTATATACACCACAGCAACCGCGTGCAACACATCGCCAGTGTGTGCTACAGTGCCTGCGGGCACCACAGCGCTCGTGTACACCACAGCGCCTGCGTACACCACATCAGCCGTAGGCAACACAGTGCCTGCGTGCCCTATTGCGCCCGTGTGCACCACGGTGCCTGTGTGCACCGGAGCAACTGTGTGCAACAAAGCGCCACTGTTATACATATTTATATATATATATATATATATATATATATGTATATCGACTGTTAGAGGGAGTCCTTATGACAAAATGGAGCGCCCGTGGGTTCCACAGAAAACAATTGTTTTTACATATCATTTGGAAGCGATATCCTGATGGAAAGGAGCGCCGCTGGAATCTACGAGTCCTCCCGAGTCCGCCCGCATCGCATCATCCTAACTCCTCCCATGTGCGTCAAGGAGGCTCCAGCTAAATTGGCCTTCCGAGAGCCGAGTGGATTGATTCAATCGACCATTCTCCGGTGCACGCTGAGATGCGCACGTGCGCTGTAGCGCCGACCCGCACGACAAGGGGGAAGGGTCAGGGAGGAGGAAGAGGAGGAGGAGGAGGAGGAGGAGGAGGAGGAGGAGGAGGAGGAGGAGGAGGAGAGGAGGAGGAGGAGGAGGAGGCGCAGGAGGAGGAGGAGGAGGACGAGGAGGAGGAGGAGGAGGAGGAGGAGGAGGGGGAGGAGGAGGAGGAGGAGGAGGAGGAGGAGGAGGAGGACAAGGAGTTGGAGGAGGTGCGGGAGGTGGAGGTGGAGGAGGAGGGAGGAGGGAAGAACGTCGCAGTCTGTTACCAGCACTTCCCTGGCGTGGCGTTTGGCCGTCCGCAGCGGATCCTCAGTCACATGCTCCTTCTACGTGTCCTGTGCACGCAGGCGCTGTGGTGTACACCAGCGCTGCGTTGCACGCGCATGCTGTGGTGTAGACGGGCGCCGTAGTGTGCACAGGCGCTGTGGTGCACGCAAGCATTGTGGTGTACACAGGCGTTGTGTTGCACATGGTTGCTGCGGTGTACACATTCGCTGTGGTGTACACCGGCGTTGTATTGCACGCAAGCGCTGTGGTGTACACGGGCGCTGCGTTGCACACGGCTGTTGCGGTGTACGCGGGCGCTGCGGTGTACACGAACGCTGTGGCGCACGCGAGCATTGTGGTGTACACAGGCGCTGTGGGGCAGATCGCCCCCTACATGATGCTCGCGTCGTCGTCGTCGTCGTCGTCGTCGCTCGTCGCCGTCGTCGTGCTCGTTGTCGTTGCTCGTCGCTCGTCGCTCGTCGCTCATCATCGTCGTGCGCGCGGGCGCGGCTGTGGTGCCAGAGCCACACGGCGGGGAGGGGGCGTTACGTCATACCCCCGTCCCGCCCCCCCCCCATGACGCCCGTCATCGCCGAAAATAGAGAAACGCGCTTCAGAAGCTCTTCGGCAATACGTGCTGCTCGATCGTTTGGCCTGTACCACCTCTCTGGGACCTCCACAATCCAGATACCCAGCTGCTGGCGGCAAGTCCCGCCACCGTGCCAGCGTAGTTTTCTGGGTAGCGACTGTTCGAGGGGTCACGAGAGGCCGTGCGTCTGTAAATGTGTATGTAATATGCATGTATGTATGCATGTCTGTCTGTCTGTCGGTCTGTCTGTCTGTTTGTATGTATGTGTGTGTGTGTGTGTTTATGTTTGTATGTATGTATGTATGCATACATGTATGTATGCATGCATGTATGCATGTATGTGTGTATGTATGTATGTACGTATGTCTGTCTGTCTGTCTATTCCCCAATCATTCCTTGCACTGAAGGGGTTCTACCAGAAGTTGAAAGGTTTAGCGAAAGTTTTCCCCCGATTTTGGTAGCAGGCTGGGTTCCTGGATTCCCGGTTCCGGGTTCCATGGTTCTCGGGTATTGGTTCAGGGCCGATTTCGGTGGGTTCTGGGTTCCCGGGCTCCTGGGTTCTGGGTCGATCTCCTCAGCGGAAGCTATCCACTGATTGGGGTTTTTCTTTGGTGTAATATGTGTTCATGTATGTATGTATGTATGTATGTATGTATGCATGCATGCATGCATGCATGCATGCATG